AGAGTGGCAGGTACCTACTGAGTGCTGTCTCTGTGGTGCCAGCATGCTGCCTGCCCAGGGACAGAGTACAGAGTGCAGGAGTGCAAACACTACCTTCCAGAGCTTTCCATCTTCCAGATGAGTGGGAGGAGGCCATGGGGGTTCACCTGGGAAAATACTGGAAGACATGAGTGTAAATAAAAATACAAGAAAGGAGGCGTAAGGCTGCGGAAAAGACAAGCTTTCTTTTGCGATTTCAGGGCGTGAAAGGTATTTGCTAGACAGGCTACGTGGGAAAGGGGCTGGCAGAGGAAGTTTGAGGATCCAGGTGTGGATTTGTGTTTAGGATGCATTTGCTACACCCATATCTAGCACCTTGGGTTGGTGAGGGTCAACAACAGGTGACAGGCTGAGAGGAACAATGACTGTAACCCACACTGGCTGCCATGCTATGAGGATGGCTCCAAGCCACCAGCTGAACAGATAATAAAACAACAGTGAGGTTCATTTCACACCCACCAGACCAGGAAAGAAAAAGGTAAAAATGCCAAGTGTACCATGCAGCAGTCAGTCCTGAAAAGGAGCTGGTTTTCTTTTTAAAAAGTCATATTTATTTACCTAGTATGGGGAGGGGCATGCCACAGGTCACGTGTGAGGGTCAGAGGACAACTGTTCTCTTTTTCTACCACAAGGGTCCCAGTGATTGAACCCTGGGCTCAACAGCAAGTGCGCTTACTCTCGTCCAAGCCATCTCTTTAGCTCTGGGGAACTTCCTGTGAACTGTTGGTAACTATAAACTGACATTAGCTGCCAGGAGGGCGGTCAAGTGATGTGATTGAAGGCAAGTACGTGTTCTCTGAGGTCTGTAGTTCAGAACGTGCAGGGTGCTCAAGGCAGCACCATTTCTGAGACAGAGTGACCTGGTTGTCCATCTTGAGAGCAATCTGAACAGAATGTGCCATACGTGTGTGTGTGTGCGTGTGTGCGTGTGTGTGTGTGTGTGCGTGTGCGTGTGTGTGTGTGTGCGTGTGTGTGTGTGTGTGTGTGTGTGTGTGTGTGTATCTGCACATTCTGAATGAATGTATATATATATTGGGTTGGGGGAAATTATCCAGTAGGTTAATTATCCGGTTGGTTGCAGATATGAGAACTGGGAGTCAGATCCACAGAATCCAAATGGAAAGGCTGGACAGGCATAGCAGTTGCCTGTAGTCCCGGGCTGGGTCGGGGGGCGCAGAACAAGTTGGCTCCTTAGACTAATGGAATTGGTGAGCTCTGATTCCAATTCAGAGACCTTGCCTCAATAAAGTGGAAATACATGAATGGAAGAAATTCACAGACTTTGGCATTTGTTAATTTCAGGTTTCTGGGCACGTATGCACCCCTGCACACTTGCACAGATACACACATGGGAATATGCATACACAGATGTATGTCACATACATACACAAAGTAAAACAACAAACATACACAGAAAAAGCAACAGATTGACCAAAATAGCAAAACAAAACAGCAAGAGAAATCAGAGTACCAGGCAGGAAGCAAGTGGTCAGCGGGTGTGTTTTGGATGAATGAGATGGTCATCTGGGTGCAGGTGGCTTAGGAGTATCATTTTTAGGGACCTGCATCACTCACTACAAGCTTCCTGAGGACTTGGGCCCAGCACGGAGATTGTGGCTGTTAGCCACAAACTGTCTCAGACTCTGGATGCTGACCAACCACTTGGGAAAGTTTTCTGGCCAGTCTGGTTAAATGGCTTGGTGCCTCTGGGGGAAGCCACCATTATCTGAAAAATTCAGTCATATGAAAGTACTCCTCCTCTGACAGGGGCAGATAAATGAGGCATTCCTGTAACTGTATGTAAATCGTGCTTCTAAAGTGCTTGGAAAGTTTGGTGTCTTGAGTAGGCTAAATGTCACCCCTACAAGCTTCTTCGCCCTCTTAATTTGCTTGGTAAATCCTGTTTTTTCAGAGGGTGAATTACAGTAAAAGTGGTTTATCTCTTTGGCATTCTGTCGACCAGCCTTGGGGTGTGGGACCAGTGGAATGATAATGGATGCCACTGGTGGTGACCCCAGGCCCCCCAGGAGGCTGCAGGCTTCTGAGTCATCTAAGAAAGTTGAGATGAATCTCTGAAGATTTAACATGAAATAAATGGGGCTCTAACCCAGGACTTTGAAAAGTACCGAGCTGTGTGCGGTGGGGTGCTGCGGATTGGATCAGCTAGCATATCCACCGCCACTCCAACCTGTGACTAAGTGAAGATGAAGGAAGCAGGCTCCCATCTCTTGTCGCCTGCATCGTCTGTCCCAGCACTTGCTTGCTCTGCTACTTTGGGTGAGTTGAAGGTGGGTGTGCGGAATGCCGGCTCTCTTCCTTTGAAACATGGAGGTTATTTGCATGCTGCCTCTGACATCTAGATGGTGACAGCAGTGACAGGTGCAGCTTCTAGGCCTAGATTCAGGAGGGCTGGTGGCTTCCACCCAGCCTGTCACAACACTGACTCCTGGGATCTAACTGCCCAAGGCCTCGTGACGAACCCCCCCCCCCCCGTACCTCTCCCCAGAGAAAGAGAGGGGTCCCAGTCTGGGAGCCATGGCTGCCCACGTGCCCCACAAGGCAGAGTAACTATCTTGGAAGATTGTTTCTGATTCACCGATGCACTGTCTCAAGCCAGGAGCAGAGTAGAAAAAGTAATTAATAACAATAATTGGCTGTTGTTCTCAGCTATGAAGTTTTGATGTGATTTGTTAGGCAACAAAAAGTAACTAAAACAATTCTTGTTTTTGTTTTATTTGGTTTATGTTTGTTTTGAAATTAAAATATTCCTTATATAAATTAATCAATTTATCTATTCATTTACTTTTATGATCTTTCACATGCTGTGTTTGGTGACGTTATTCTCCCTTTACCTCCCAAACGCCCACCCCCACCCTCCCCTCTCCACACAAATCTTTCTCACATACCCATGTCTATTACTTTTGTTTTGTGACCCACTGAGTCAAACCAGGGTCATCTGTGCAACCACAGGTTTGGAAGTAGCTTTTGGAGCAGCCTGGTGAGCTCAGCAGAGGGTACACAATCAAACGCAGTGATTCCCGTGCCAGGTGTGGTGGCACATGCCTTTAATTCCAGCACCCTGGAGGCAGAGGCAGGTAGAGCTCTCGGATATCGAGGCCAGTCTAGTCTTTGTAGCAGCAAGTTCCAGGTCACCTGGGGCTATAGGGAAATCCCATCGAAAGAAAGAAAGAAGAAAAAGAAAGAAAAAGGAAAGGGAAGAACAAAGAACGAAGTACAGTTGATACCCCTCCCAAATCCATCAGTAGCCAATAGCTATGGGCTGGGCCCTGGAGCCCCGTTCCGTGACTGTTGCTGGTGGGGCTGGTCTCCTTCAGGCCTGGTGCAGATAACTACGGCTGATGTGAGTCAACCAACACAGTAGCTCTATGGAGTCTAGCGACTGGCATTTCCCAGCCCTTCACCCAGGCTTCGGGCTCATATATACTTTCTGTCGCCTTTTCCAGTGTTCCCTGGCTGTGTAGGGCTGGGCCCACATCCTTTCCTTACTGTCTGCATCTTGGGCGGCCGTGAATCTCTGCATGATTCAGGCCGCTTTTGTCTATAGGTAAAGCACAGGTATTCAGAAGACAGTTTGCTGCTACGGCAGCTAAGGTAACCAGCAGGTATACACTCCCACATGGGCCTACTACCTCTCCACATCTAGGCTGCTAGCCACGCACCAGACATCGGTGCCCTCCTTCCGGTGGAATGGGCCTTGAATCCAGTCTAGGTGTAGTTGGCTGCCCCCAACAGTCAAGCTGCTTTCACACAGGTGGCCTTATGTTACTCTCTGCGTGGTTTACACTCCCCTTATCCCTCACCCTGGTCTCCCCAGTCTCCCCACCTTCTTCCTGCCTAAACCTTTCTGCCCATAGCATTCCCCGTCTTTACTTTCTTTTTACCTATGTCCTACTATCCCACCTCCCTTAAGGTAGGCCCTCCTCACCCCCCTTATTTTCTGGCTTCCATGGGTACTCTGTTAGACACACCAAACCGAAGAGTCAAAGCTAGGATCATCATGTAGAGAACACAAGGCATTTCTCCTTCTGGCCTTGGGTTACCTCACTCAGAATAATTTTTCCCAGTTCCCATCCATTTCCCTGAAATTTTCATAATTTCATTTTTCTTCACAGCTGAGTAATATTCCCTTGTGTATATGTCCACTGTGCAAGTTTATGTATTTTTGTTTGAGGAATTGAGACCATTAATTTTCAGGGTTATTATTGGGAGATGTGTATTAATTCCTGTCATTTTGTTGATTTTGTGTTTTCCTAGACATTTCTTATGTCTTTTGGTATTCTTTAAAAATAAGGAATGCTGTTTAAAATTAGGGCTGTGTCCTAGTTTGTTCTTCATTGCTGTGGCAAAATACTCTGACCAATACCAATTTGGGGAGGAAAGGGTTTATTCAGCTTACATCTCGTAGGTCACAGTTCATCAGGGAGCCCAAGGTAGGAACTCAGGGCAGGAACCTGGAGGCAGGAGCTGAAGCACAGGCCATGGAGGAACACTGCTTCCTGGCTTGCTCCCCTGGCCGCTGCTCAGCCTGCTTTCTTATACAACACAGGCCCACCTGCCCAGGGATGGCACCACCCACAGTGGGCTGGGCCCGCCCACATCACTCATCAAGAAGATGCCCCTCAGACATGGCCACAGGCCAGTCCAATAGAGGCAATTCCCCGATTGAAGCTCCCTCAACCCAGGTGTGTCAAGTTCACACTAAAGCTATCCAGCACAGGCTGGAAAGATGTTTCAGCAATTAGGGGCACTGGCTGTTCTTGCAGAGGGCCTGAGTTCCGTTCCCAGTACCCCAAATGGAGACTAACAACCATCTGTAACTCCAGTTCCAGGGGATCCGATGCCCTCTTCTGGCCTCCATGGGCATTGTACAATACATGTGCACTTACATACATGCAGGCAAAACACTCATACACATAAAATTTAAAATAAAAATAAAATAAACCAGAATGCTTTACAAATTGAATTTGTGTGTCATCCTTGCAAAGTTCCATATTAATCTTCTCTGTATGGTTCCAATTTCAGTTCACATGGCCCCAAAGTGAACACTAAAATATTTCTGAATTTACTTAAAAATAATGACTTCAGAGGCTAGAGAGATGACTTGATGGTTGAGGCTTCTCTCCCAGATGACCTGTGGTTGTTTCCCAGCACCCACATAGTGACTTATAGCTGCTGTAACTCCAGTTCCAAGGGATCTGATGCCCTCTTCTGGCCTCTGCAGGCACTGTACGCACATAGTGTGCTTATATACATGCAATCAAGCACTCATATACATAAAATAAAAATAAAATATTTAAAATAAGGGGCTGGAGAGATGTCTCAGTGGTTAAGAACACTGGCTGCTCTTGCAGAGGGCCTGGTTTCAGTTCCTAGCACCCACACGGCAACAACTTTCTGAAACTCCAGGTCCAGGGGTTCCAAGGCCCTCTGCTGGCCTCTGTGGGCATTACACTGTATGAGTGCACTTACACACATGCAGGCAATATACTCTCATACACATGAAATAAAAGGACAGTTCGTAGCCACCATGTGGATGCTGGGAATTGAACCCGGGTCCTTTGCAAGAGCTCTTAACCACTGAGCCCCCTATTATTTTTATTTTATGTGTACTTACCTGAATGTAGGTAAGTGCACCCGTGTCATGCAATGCCCATGGAGGACAGAAGAGGCTGTTGGGTTCCCCTGGAACTGGAGTTACAGACAGTCGTTAGCTGCCATGTGGGTTCTGGGATTTGAACCTGGGTCTTCTGCAAGAACAGTCAGGGTTCTTAACCCCTGAGCCATCTTTCCAGCCCCCTGCTGCTCTGTTTCAATTGCACAGTTCAGTGGTGTTAAGTCCCTGCTGTACGGCCATCAACATCATCCAACTTCAGAAGTTTTCATCGCACTAAACTGAAACTTTGTCCCTGTGACAAAGCTTCCATTCTTCCCTTGAGCCCTGGCCCACGTGGCACTGTCTGTGCCTATGAACTTGCTGCTCTGGGTACCTCAGGTGAGGGAAATGCTCCCCATGCTTTAGGCTTCATGTTCTTTTATGACCTCTTACATCACCGTGCTGATTAATTTCATGTGTCCCCCTCGCTGAACCATGAGGTGCTGAATATTAACAAAATATCATTCTGTGTTTTTCTGGGATTTGGGCGATACTAGCATGTAAACGGTGGACTGAGTAAAACAGACTGCCCTCCCTAGTGATGGTGGGCCTCCAGTCAGTTGAAGGCCTGACTAGATTTGAGTGGGGAAATTCTCCTGCCTCATGGTTCTCCCCAGGGCCCCTCCCACGTCCTTCGAGGATCTAGATACATCTTATTAGCTCTGTTTCTCCAGAGACCCCTGACTACTCTACTCACTGAGTTCAATCTCTTGTTAGCATTTGCATTCATAACTCACCTGTGCCACACTGAGACCCAGGTGTTGCCAGGGTAAAAAGAGAAGCTACTGTTTTGGAGGGGTCTGGGAAAAGTCAGGGGATGTGGAGCGAGTTCCAGTTTGCAGTCACTTCGGCAAGACCTCCGCCCCCAGGAATGCCCCCTAAACTTGACTTGCTCTAGCCCTTGTCAGTCTAAAAGGGATCAGGTACACAGAAGAGGCAGAGCAATGGCAAGAGGCCAACAACCAGGTGTGGACTCTTGGGTTCTAAGTCACAATCACTGTGACTGTCTTTGTCGTCTAGTAGTTCAAGATCTGTGGCCACTCCTGTCACCCTTCGTAGTCGGGGAGCAGCAGGTAGTAAACAGGGCCCACAGCAGCGCTGTTCCCATGCTCACCCTTCAAGAAACAGGAATGCCTCTCACCGGGCACTGAAATAGTTTATCCTCCTAGCCAGCTGCACAGGTGGTGATGCGGCGATTTCTCCCTGTCTGTGTTCGTAGCCGTTCAGTCCTGCTCTGAAGTTTGGGAGATGTGCTCACTGAACACACCTGTTCCTTACTGTCCTCCCCAGTTCTGTGATGCTCCGTGTGCCAGTCTCTGTGCTAGTCTAGCTCAGGCCAGGAAAGGAGAGTTGCATCTGTGGATTCTAAAGAAAGGAATTTAACAGAAGGGATTGGTCATATAGGTGCTCAAAGGCAAGATGTCAAAAGAGACAGTGGGAGATGAGACTTTAGACCAGATAGCAGGGAAGCCATGGTCAGATGGAGGAGGTGGATTGCTGGAAGCAGAGGCAGAACCTGGAAACACAGAGGCCAGGCACGATGTGAACAAAGGGAGAGTCAGCCCAGACCAAGGACAGAGAGACAGACAGAGACAGAGAGAGAAACAGGGATATAGGGAGTCAGACAGAGGGACAGAGTGAGACAGAGGCACAGAGAGACACAGAAAGAAGCATAAAGAGATGAGAGAGAGAGAGAGAGAGAGAGAGAGAGAGAGAGAGAGAGCTTTTATTTCAATTCTGACCTCCCTCCAGGGTCTTTCAGTGACTGAGCCCAGCTGGAGGCTGAGTGCTAGGATGTAGCCTGGGGGGGTCAGACCTCCTGCCACCCCCAGCCAAGCAAAGCAGAGGATGGCCAAGGGCCACCAATACTCTCCTTCACCAAGACTGAACCTAAACAGGTTCACCCACTCCTGACCAAAACCAAATTAAAAGCCAACTTGGCTTAAAAATCAAGATATTGTAGAGACTTTGCAAGAGTCAGACTTGCGTGTAAAACAGGCTTCTCCATTTGCTAGCTATACGACATTGAGTAAATTTTTTAATCTCTCTGAATCCCAGTTGTAAACAAAGAGAATTACAGTCCACTTCCTCAGAAATGTCATGAGATATTGTGGGAAAAAGACAAGACTTGAGGGCAGCTTTAACATTGTCTCAAAATCTGTACCCAGAAAGCAGCAGGGACCTTGGGGTGACCTAGACTTTCCTCAGACTTTGACATATGGGACATGTCAGGGTTTGTTTTTTATGTATAAATATAGGCATTTATCCAGAATATGTGGTACACAATACTTTGCCGATAATACATGTATTCATACACAAATACAAGGAATTTTAGCCTCAAATGTGGCACACAGATATGATACCCTCCACCCCCATGCTGCCCACACCCTCTAGAAAATTCTGTCGAATCCACAGGAAAGGAAGATTCTTGTAGCCACAGGTAAGCAAACCCAAAAGATATTCAAGCCTACACTTAGAAGATGGAGGGAGTCACCGTGAGTGGGCTGGAATGCACATTTGAAGGGACTCAAATATCCCCTAGGAAAGAATCACTGGGTTAAGTTTTGAAGAAAGAGGAACACGCCCTTTGTCCTAGTTTGTTTCTCCATTGCTGTGACAAAACACTCTGACTAATACCAACTTGGGGAGGAAAGAGTTTATTCAGCTTACATCTCCCAAGGTAGGAACTCAGGGCAGGAACCTGGAGGCAGGAGCTGGAGCACAGGCCATGGAGGAACACTGCTTACTGGCTTGCTCCCCTGGCCCTTGCTCAGCCCGCTTTCTTATGCAACACAGACCCACCTGCCCAGGGGTGGCACCACCCACAGTGGGCTGGGCCCTCCCACATCACTCAGCAATCAAGAAGATGCTCCACAGATACAACCACAGGCCAGGCCAAGGGAGGCAATTCCCCAATTGAGGCTCCCTCAACCCAGGTGTGTCAAGTTGACACTAAAGCTATCCAGCACACCCTTGAAGCTCTGAAGGGTCTTGACGGCTGTTCAAAATCTATTCTCTGCTCCTTGAGTGTTTCGGTTTCTGTACTGTGTAAACTGTTGATTGTGGAAGAGCGGATTTTCCTATCGGAATAGACAAGGTAATGTTAAAAAACAACATAGGGACTAGAGTGGAAAATAGTGCTTGAGAGATGCTGAGGCTCCTCGTCTACATCACTGTGTAGTCACAGGAGTTGTGCATAGGAATGCCTGTGTGTGGAGTGGGTGGGCATTAAGGAATATAAGTTGATTGATTAATCTTCGGAGCTTTTCTTTCCTGGATGCCTTTAAAGTGACGAAAGTACTTTAAAAAATACTTAAATAGTTCAAATGTAATCACCTGGGGCTGGAGAACTGGCTCAGGACCAGAGTTTGGTTCTCAGCACCCATTTCAAATGAGTTACAACTGTATGGAATTCCAGCTTCAGGGGATTTGACCTCTTCGGGCACCCACACTCATGTACACATACCTACATACATATAAGTTAAAAATAAAAATAAATCTAAACTGCAATCACCCACTAACAATCCCACCCACTGCACACAGATGCTGCCCATTCACATGCTGGGCACATCCTGGAGATGCTGTGGAGCCGGAGATGGGAAAGTCAAGGTATCTAAGGCCACAGGTGCTCACACAAAACCACTCATGATCACGGATGCTGTCATGTGTTTGAAGTAGTAGGTTGGAACCCTAAGTGCCACTGAGGTATCAATATTTCAAAAGAACTTCAGGCCTGTTTTCTGCTGATGTAACAGGATTCCAGAGACTGGGTGGTTTACAAATGGTGTTTTATCAGGGCTCGTGGTTCTGGAGGCTGGGCAGTTCAAGAGCATGGTGCTGCCCTCTGGCCAGGGCCTCCATGCAGTGCCACAACTTAAGACATGAGTGGGGTGAGGAAGAGGAAGCCTGACACAGTAGATCTGCCCTGGCGCTAACTAACCCACTCCCTCCACACTGCTCTTGGTCCATTCATCCCAGGGTGGCCCATGACCTGATCTAATTCCCTATAAAAGTCCCACCTCTCAACATGGTTGCAGTGGCAATTAACCATCAACATGCATGGCAGGGGCGCCATTTTGAGCTTAGCAGATGCTTCTATGGCTCTGGTTTCTTTTTCTCATCACTTTCCCTTGCCAAGATGGTGCTCATCAGAGCAATCTAGCCTAGCTTTTCTCTCCAAAGGTCTGACCAGCTACTCTGGGGAACAAGCCTCCCATTTTTGCTGAAGGAAGCTAGGGGATTAGTGGGTGGCCTTCCTTGTGAGTCTTCTCCCCTTTGGTAGCCCAGGAACCCAAGTCCATTCCTAAAACTCTAATCATGCTAAGGTGCGATACTCAAGCCAAGGTCATGTATGGTCTTGTGTGTGTGGAGCATGGGAGGCCATGTGCTTGGA